CAGGTCAGCAGTTGGCTTATTTATTGACAAAGATACTTGGAATCTCAACTCATGAAGGATACCATCTTGATCTCCTTGTATCAAGGATTCTAAAGAAGTAAGTCATTCTCTCAGAAAATCTTCAAAAATCTACTAACTTTGAGCCCTCTGCTACCAGTGTAAACACAATCAATACTAGATGAAATCAGCCGTCTTCTCCAACGGCTATATCTCAACGGCTAGTTCCCGATAGCCTATAAATACTTCTTCCGTACATTCCACTTCACACTTTTTACTTTACAACCTCTTTCTCCCTATTTCTAAGCTCTCAAATTCTCTCAAAAGCTCTCTTACACACAATCTCACTACTTCCAAAATCAAACATCTCATCAACCCACAAATGGCCTCTCTCACCAAAGTTTCTAAGTCTATTTTCACTGGCTCAATCCTAAACACTTCCAAAGCACTTGAAAGAGCAAACAACAGTGATCTCATGAGAGAACTGCTAAGGAAGCTTGACACAACAGGGCTATTGAAAATGGCAACCTTCACATACTCCCACTTCTATCCTGAAGTAGTGGCAGAGTTCTACATCAACTCAACCCCAGAAACATTGAAATCTGTAGTTATGGGGGTTGAAGTGGAAATTCAAGAAAAAGACATCAAGGAGTTACTCTCTCTTCCTGGTGACGAAGCCCCAGAAGTGGAGAACATCCTCTTGGACGAGGCAGAATTCAAAGAAGCTGTCTTCCTACCAAAAGCTCAAAATCTCAGTACTCTCAAGATAAAGAAAAAGCTGATGGTCCAAGAGTATGACATTCTCTTAGACATCCTCTACAAGTGCATTGACACAAGAACCACAGCACTTGATGAGTTAAATGCACAAAGGGCAAAGCCACTAGCCGCCATCATCTCAGGAACTCCATACAACTGGACCAAGTATGTTTCTCTTGAACTTAAACGCTATGTGACCAAATCACATACAGGAAGAAAGGAGGATGGTACACTACCGTTGCTAGGCTACGGATTTCTCATCGGAGAACTACTCAAAAAGAAGGGTATACTGGGGATAAGAAAGGAGGCAACTACTTGGAGGAAATTCCTATTCCAAACTTCCAAGGTAGGAGCTCCAGAAATTCCAAAGATTGATGATTCCTTCCTCTCCAATGACCTACTCTTGGTATCTTTCAAAGTTGATACCAAGACTGCCAAAAGACTACGATCTGGGTGTCAAGACTCACAATCAAAAAGGCCAAGGACAGCAACCAGGAATCTAAACAGAGAAATGGATGAAGCAGCATCATCTATGCATGCAGCAGAAGGCTCTCCTCTTACCATCATTCAAGAGGAAGCAGAGTCCTCTTCCAACTCTTCAAATGCAAGCAACAACTCTGCTATTCCACTTTCCATTCTTCTTCCAACAAATCAGCAACAAACAGACCAACCTGCTCCAATAGAGGAGCAGAATACTCAAGAAGAAGTGCAGACGGCTCTAAACCAGGACACTCCAATCCAAGAGCAGATGGCTCCATCTTCACAGCCAGATTGTACATCTCTTGACAAATTGGAAGCTGACTGGAGCAGGGTCAAAGCTTGGAGAGAATGGAAGCTCTCCAACATTCTCCACCAAGCCAGAACACTAACAAAATTCATCAGTGAAGAGTATTTCGCTCTAACCTGGCTTGGCACCAAAGATATAGCAAAAGCAACCAACCTTCATCAGATTCATCTAATCTATCTTTCAAAGAAGAAACCGCTGACTAATAAGGAACAAGATGTACACTCCACTAACAATGATGACGATGATCTGGATGATGACAACCATTCTGGTCCGAATGGCCCCCCAAAGAATAGAGGTAAACAGGTCATCTCCTCTTCCTCCTCAAGTGATAAAGAACTTCAAATGGTTCTACAGAAATCAAGGTTTGAAACTAGAGGAGGTGGGGAAACCTCCAAAGCAATGGAGGAAGTAGCTCAGCAGTCCCCTGAGCAGCAGCATGCAGATATTTCACTCCAGAAGCCTACCTCTCACACCTCTGCAAACGAAGACCAACAATCCGGTGCCCCCTCTCCAGATTCTACTCAGAACTTAGAGCAGCACTCTCACACATTCATTCTCAACTCTGAAAATGATAAAGAGGACACGGCTACCCTGGCAGATGTCTTCATCAGAGAAAGAAGAGCTACAACCAAGTTCATCAGCAATGCCGAGGTCCGCCTACACAAGAGACTCATCAAAATGAAGAAGCAACTAGAAGAAAGGCTAGATATCAGGTTTGGAGAAGTCCACAGCCACATCAGGAAAGATTCAATGATCCAACAAGTGTTCAATGCTGAGCAGAGAGCTCTCCTCAAGACCAAAACCTCTCAGCAGTCTGCCTTGACCAATGAAATAAAGCAGGAGATATCTGCACTAAAAGCCAAGAATGAAGAACTCGAAAGACAAGTGCTAGTACTTCAAAAGCAGCAACAAGCTCAGCCTACTGCAGCAAGTACTTCTGAGCAATTGCCTTCTCTCCCAACCTTACCTTCTAATCTTCAGCAGGCTTTTCAAAAGGTGCAGGAACATGAAGAGTATCTCATGAAACTAAGGAATGAGGAATTCCCTGCCATGTTCAAGCTATCTCAGAAATTCCTTATGGAGCAGCAGGCTCATGCTAAGGCCTATGAACAGCTCACTAAGGACATTGCTCACAACTTCCAAGTTCTCCACAAAGGAACTCAAGAAACCTTCTGGCAGCAAGGCAAGGACTTCCAGAAACTAGGACAAGACTTGGCACAGACAAAACACAAACTTCAGAACTTGGAACACGAAGTCAAAGATGAGGTAAAAACGGATCTTCTGGACATCAACAACCACATCAAGGCACTGTCTATTGAAGTCTATGGTCTGAATACATCCAGAAGACCACATGAAGATCCTGACTCTGATCCAGAGATAGAAGCTCTATTCAACGAAAGCCAGACCCCTGCTGCTGATGCCAAAAAGGGGGAAAGAACAACACAAGCAGGCCCCTCATCTGTAAGATCAATAGCAGCAAAGAAAGCCGCAGAAACCAGAAGAAAGAACAAGCTCCTCCAAGAAGAAGCGGAGATCAGACAAAGGAAAGCTGAAGAAGCAAAAGCCAAGAAGAAGCTGGAGGAAACCAACAAAAATAGACTTCAAGGAAAGTCCGAAAGTGACTAAAAACTATTGTACTTTAGACTGTAGACCAATGTACAATATTCTCAATAAAAATCAATAAAAACAATTGTTTCTTGTGTTGTATAGTTTTGGCATCATCAAAAAGGGGGAAACTGTTAGTACCCAATTTTGATAGATTTTGATGATGCCACTATACTTTGCACCCGTACATTGTGTCTAAATTAAATTCAAATATTAGCATTAAAATGTGACAAAATAAATGTAAAATTTTTGGAACTAATAAAATTACACTGGAAAGTCAAAATGCAATAAGGTAAAAATTCTTTTACCTTAAAAAGGATATTTAAATCCTACCAGTATAATTCTATTAGCACACAAAAATTAAATGTCACATAAACATATACATTGAATGTATATGATTGAAGACAAAACTTGACCGGCATTTAATACCGGATCAAGTACTGGGGCCGCGGCATGGGACGCACACACAATACAAGACAAAGTGATCAGCTGAAATCAATGCTCCAGCACAAGAAGACAATTGTACTACTTATCCTTGCCAGAGATCTTCAACGACAAGGATTAATTCATCTCAACCAACGGATGAGATTAATCAACCATGAAGGCCTATAAATATAGGTAGAAGCATGAGTTCGAAAACAAGCTTGAGCATCCTAAGCAGAGAAATACTTTCATCAAAGCATATACGAAGCTATCTAGCAAAAAGAGAAAGTGCAAACTCAACTTTACTCTCTGCTTACCCTCATGCTTCACTAAGCTCTTAGATTAGATCAACACTTTCACATTTTTAGAGCTTAGTTCATAGTTGGAGGTTAGAACTTTCTTGTAACATTTCACAAGTGGTTGTAAACACTTAGGAGAACAGTTGTTCGGATCCTAAAGTGTAGGTAGATAGATAGAGTACCTTTTGATCCCCACTGGATCAATTGAGAAAAGTCTAAGGACTGAGTAACTTTGAGTGGTGTTATACTCATTGTGAAAAACCTTCAATCTAGGCCTAAGAGTTGTAAAGGCTAGATTGGCACTAAGTGTATTGGGCTGAATACTTTAGTGGAAATCCATTTGAAAGAGAATGGGACTGGATGTAGGAGGATTACACCACCTCTGAACCAGGATACATCGTGTGTTGATTCTCCTTTACTCACCAAAGCTCACACCCAACACTTCTCACTAAAAGGATCGTAGTTTGCCAGCAGCATCCTAAGCAGTAGTCTTAATTGACTCTACTGCTTATCCTACTGCTTAATAACTCACTTTTCTTTGAGGCAACTGTTTCACACGAGCTTTGGAATACCACTACTAAAAGGTTTGGCTTGCCAATTCTCAGAAATACTCTTTTCATAAACAGCAGACGGCTTAGCAGTTCCCTGGGTCTACCCAACTGCTCAGACCTCTGCTCAGGCTAAACTTCTTATTCTCTTTAGCTCTACACATATTCATAAAGTCCTCATCATTCTACACAAGGCCATATAATTATCTGTTCCAAACTCCTGTTTTGAACTAGCAGTTGCCTCAGCAGTTTCCTGCCATCCAGGCAACTGCCAAGCCAACTGCTCACTGTTCAAAGTCCAATCTTCCCAAATTAGAAAGTGGCCAAACTCTCATCACCTAAAGGGTAAAGACTTCCGCTGTGCATCTATTAATCTCTCAAAAGATTATAGATCAACTTTTCTAGAGGGAAAACATCATAAAGTTGAAAAAGATTTAAAAGTCTATTCACCCCCCCCCCCTCTAGACTTTTACCCTATCTGGGACCGTCAGAAATATTTTAATGAAAGAGCAACATGATTTTCATAAACGATATTCAATAAAGGTGATGATTATTAAATAAAAACTAGACATTGATTTATCATACCATTTTCTACTTCTTCACATTCTCTATAGAACTCTTCTTCTTCTTTAGTTGGCTCATTGAAAAAGTTGAAGTCATCAGCTTTGATCCAATCATTTGAACACACCAGCGCCTCAACCATTCTTGGACTCAAAGAAGATTTAAAATAATTCACAGTCCTTTCTCCAGAACTAAATGCATTTTCTGAAGCAACAGTGGAGCAAGGCATTGCAAATACATCTCTTGCCACCTTTCCCAAGATAGGATACTTTGATGAATTAAGTTTCCACCATAAGAGCAAACAGAAAGATTGATTAAAACTGCCTTCACATGGATCACACAAATAAGCATCAACTTCATTATTGATTTGAACAACTTGGTTAGCTTGTTGCTGCTGCATGTAAGCTGCCCTCATTGTCGCTTTAGTGTCACAGTCATCAATTTGCCCCACGTTTACTTCTCCACCAGGTTTGTTAGAACTAGTTTGTGCTGCAGCAGGCTCAAAAGCTTTATACACTTCATAAAAACGCATTAAAATCTGCTTAACCAAGCTTGTAGTGGTTTCAATTTCAGCCTTCGACACACCACATTTTTCAAGAAGAACTTTTTGGTATCCTAATTTCCATCTAGGATCAAGAACATTCCCAACGATAAACAAAGGATTGATCTTCTGAATTGAGCCCCAATATTTGTTAAACTTAGATAGCATTGAAGTTGCCACCCTTTTCAAGGGAAGATTGTTATTGTCATCCATTGCTTTTTTTATCTCAAGTTGAATCGTAACCATCTCCTCAAACACGATGTGAGAAGTAGGACTCTTAAAGGAACTCAACCTCAAAGTGGCATCATAAAATTTCTTTAAGAAATAAACAAAAGCCTTAGCACGCTCCCAGTCATCCCCTAGAGGAGGCCCCTGCCTCAAATAAGCCCCACTCTTATCCTTCTCAAAAAACCAATCACTATAAGGTTTGTGCTCTTCAGCCATCCTATCAAAGACCTTAGAGAATTTCAGACCTCTCTCTAGCATGTTATATGTGGAGTTCCACCTAGTGCATACATCCATTCCGACATTGGCACTTTTATCAAACCCTTCAAGTACAGCAAACTTTCTAAAGTTCTCTAACCTAGCCGGTGAAGACTTGATGAACTTAATTGCATTACGAATGCTGACAACCTCTTTATTTAATTCAGAAAGTCCATCTTGCACAATGAGATTCAGAATATGACAACAACACCTAACATGCAAGTACTCACCATCTAGCAGTAAGGTATTTAAGGACTTCATCCTTTTTATCATATACCCAACAGCAGTTTCATTAGGGGATGCATTGTCAACAGTTATAGTAAATATCTTCTTGATCCCCCAAAAATTCAAGCACTCCTCCACCACCCTCCCAATATCATCACCCTTATGACTTGTAATTTGAGTAAAGTTCAAAATTCGCTTATGCAAATTCCAATCATGGTCAACAAAGTGTCCAGTGATAACCATGTAATTGATGTTTTGTATTGAAGTCCAAGTGTCGGTAGTGATAGAAACTCTAAGATTGTTATCTTTAATCATAGACATTATCTTAGCTTTCTCTGTGCAAAACAGTTTCCACACACCTTGGGTAACACTTTTCCTATTCATTGATTTCCACTTGGGGTTTAAAGATTGACAGAATCTCCTAAATCCTCTACCCTCCACATGAGAAAAAAGCAATTCGTCTTCAATTATCATCCTCACACATTCAAAGTCACTTACCTCTTTTTTGTATGCGTATGGCTTAAGTGAACCCTCTGTATTTAGGGTGAGGAGTTGTTGGCCTTTCCCAATCAGTTTTGCCTCAAGAGGAGCTCGAGCACAATGATTTTGCAGGTGTCTCAATAGAGAGGAAGTACCATTTCCATCACTGGATGCCTTGAGTCTTTTCTTGCAATAATTACACGAAGCAGCCTCAAGTATATCCTTATCTCCCACTTTTTTTGTTATTTTTTCCATATGTTTCCACACCTCCGAGCCTTTTCTCTTTTTGTCCAAAGGTGGAACATTAGTATCACAACCCTCATTAACGCTACAAGGTGGCTCCTGTGTAGACATCTGCAAAATATATAAATCAAAAGAATGACAAATCATTAAAATATGTTTCTTAAAAGTAAACAAAGTAACAAGCTTCAAACTTGATACAAAGTACATACATAAACTTGATACAAAGTAATCAGGAATTCAAGATAGATGTGGATGGTGGACCATAATACAGATGGAGTATGGAGTACCTACTTTGACTAAACTCTGTAGTAGAGAGCGAGGTTTGTAGGAGAAGAAGCCAGAGCCTGGAAGAGGGAGCAGTGAGGCGACTGGAGGAGCAAACAGCGATGAGACTGGAGGAGAATAGAACTCTGGATTCTCGAATATTAGCTTTTGTAGGATCGATTACTCCTTGGAAACATGAAAATGCCATAAATTTACCTCTTCGGAATTCTAAATGGCATCCCATAAGTTCTCTCCCCGATTCCCAATCGGCTGATAATAGAGATGTGGAAACGGCTAGGTCTGTTGGCTTTCCCATAGGAGCTACGAAGTATATCATTACATATACTTAATATTTTATTATAATTAAAATTAAATATTCGGGTCGGGATTTGACCGGTCCGGGCCGGTTTGTAACTTTCAGGGACCGGATTTGGGCCCGAAATTTCGGGTTCGGTCCGGGTTTTTTTACCCAGCCCGCCAAAAATAAAAAAAAAACCCGGCCCGGTAGAAATTTGCGGTCCGAGCCCGGGTCGGTTTTCGGGTTTCGGTTCGGTTTTTCCCACCCCTACTCGGAGTTGCACCTGGACGCGTGAAGAAGTGGACGCAGAAGCTTGGATTTTGGACCTAAACGCAAGGAGCTGGTAAGAATTGAACCCAGCGGGAAGCTTTGGTCTGGAACTGCGCATATCGCTGGAGGGGAGCCTAGACGCCAACTGCTGGTTTGGGCTGACTGGAGTTGGGAGCTGGACTGCAACTCTGCTGCTGGGCCGCTGGGTTGCTGTTGGACTGCTGGAGCTGCTGCTGGGCTGTGGACCTGGAGCTGGAAGCAGTCAACCGTCGGTCAACCGCTGGTCAAAGCTCGGTCAAAGGCAGTCGACAGTCCGAAAAATCCCAATTTTTAAATTGGGTGGGTAAGGTCGAAACGCCTCTCCTAGGGTTTCGCTCCAGTATATTGACTTTTATCCTTTTTATCGCTTTTGTAGTGATTTAATCTTTTATTGTGTAGAAATTATATTTCAGGTTTATCATTGCTGTTCAAATTGTTTGAATTGTTGTATTGTGTTTGCGCTGAAAATTTATTATTTATTTGTGCTTATACGGAAGAACAAGGGGTTTGAACTTGAGTTTGGTGCTCATTAATACTCCCCGCGTGTTCGTGCTAGTTGCTCCGTATATTTGTAGACTAGATATGTCTATGGATATTGAAGAAAATCTAGATGTGTTTACCAAACTTATTTCGGATATTAAGTTGTGTGGTGATAAGCATATAGATGATTATTCCCCTATTGCTCTTTTAAATGCTATTCCTGATTCCTTTGGTGATGTGAAATCTGCTATTAAGTATGGTAGAGATAATGTGACTCTTGACATTGTGGTAAATGGTCTTAAGAGTAAGGAATTAGATTTAAAACAGATGGGTGAGGGTAGAAAATCCGAGGAAGTTATGCATGTGAGGGGTAGAGAAAATAATAGTAGACGACATAGATCTAAGTCTAGGTCTAATTCGAGACGTTGCTATTATTGTCATGAATTTGGTCATTTCATAAGAGACTGTCCTAAATCTAGGAAAAATGAGCATAGTGAACATGCTAATTTGACTGCGTGTGAAGATGATTTAGATGATGTTTTTATGATGAAAAATCTATGCGATTATGACTATTTGAGTTATGTGATATCTGATTCTTTGGGTAAATCAGATTGGGTGGTAAATTCTGGTTGTAGTTTTCACATGTCCCCTTTGAAAAATGTTTTTTCAAACTACAGAGAGATTGAGCATGACTTTGTGTCTTTAGCAAATGAGAAGAAATGCAATGTGCTAGGAATAGGAGATGTGTGCCTTAGGTTCTCTTTTGGTTATGTGCTTACTTTGAAGAATGTTAGGCATGTTCCTGAGCTGTGCTATAATTTGCTATCTTGTACTTCTCTTGAAAATGTGGGTTTGAAGGGAAAATGGGGAAAGGGAATCATGAAAGTTGTGAAGGGTTGCTAAGTTGTTTTCAAAGCTGAGATGAAAAACAACTTGTATGTTTGTCATGCTGAACCCGTACTTGATTCTGTGAATTGTGTGCAACCATGTGTGCTAGGAAAACAGTCTAGAGTTAGTTTTCCTGATCTGCCTAAGTGTACTGATGTGCTTGATTGTATTCATGCTGACTTGTGGGGTCCTTATAGTGTTTCCACTCATGGTGGGAAAAATTATTTTATGACGTTGATTGATGATTTTTCAAAGAAAGTGTGGGTTTTGTTGATTGAGAGTAAATCTGAAGTTTTTGATAAGTTTAAAAATTGGAAAACTCTTGTTGAAAAACAAACCGGTAAGAAAATAAATTTTTTAAGGACCACTGTCAGTTTTGATTCCTGTGATAATCAGTTTGGTGATTTATGTGATACTTGGGGTATTTCTATGCATAAATATGTTCCCTCCACACCCCAACCGGATGGGGTTGCTGAGAGGATGGTTAGAACTTTATTAGAGAGGGTGAGAGCTATGTTAGCTTCATCTGGACTCTCTAATAAGTTCTGGGGGGAGCTATTTGTTATGCTGTTGATTTGGTTAATTTGTCAACGTCTGTTCCCTTAGGAGGGAAATGCCCTGAATCTGTGTTCACGGGCAAACCACTTAACTTGCCAAATTTGATAGTGTTTGGTTGTGCTGCTTATGTGAATCATGTGAATGATAAATCTGAACCTAGGACTAAGGAATATGTTTTCTTAGAATATCATGATTGCATGAAAGGTTATAGGCTTTGGTGTAGGAGTGAAACTTGCTTCAATGTGTTGATGAGTAGAAATGTCATTTTTGTTGAAAATGAATTTCCTTGCCTACTTGTTTCTCCTGATGTTGCTCCAAATGAGGTGGAGCATTTGCCTATTGAAGTTCATTCCGATTTACTTGTTGAAACCAAACCCAAATTTGTGAATGAAAATGTTTTTCATGGTGAAAATAAAGAAAATAATATTTCTATTAAGGTGGAGCATGATATGAATGTTATGTGCAATATGCTTGAGTTGCGTGATTGCTATGCTATTAGAGATAGAGGCATTAGGGAGTATGAGAGAAATAATATGTGCAATGTGTTTGACTATATTTCCTCTGAGTCTGCTTTAAATGTGCTTAATTCTCTATTAATTAAAATCTTTGTGATATTTGGTATGCTATTTTCTTTGTGTTTTGAAAATATGATACCATGTGATTATGTGAGCTCCGCCTGTGCTAGTTATAGAAATAATATTGTTTCTTTTATTTTCTTTATACTTGCTTTGTGTGGTTGTTGGATTAGTTGGAATCCCCAACTTCTCCCGGATGCTTGCTTGCGTGGTCTATTAACATGTGTTGTGCTTGTTAATAGTTTTGTGATGGTTTTGGTTCTGAACTCGAGGACCAATTGGTTGAGTTCAGTCCATCGTGAATTGGGTTTGCATGGTAGGCTTGGTCCGAAAGGGAACTTTGGTTCTCATCTATTACTTGTATGATCGCAATGATGTACGTACTTGTAATGGTCCGGCGATGATGAGTCTCCTCACAACTTTGTATTGCTACTCTACACCACCTAGGACCAATAAGGTGGAGAATGTTGGAGGTATTGGTCCTACCAAGGCCTCCCTTCCACTTTACTATTGACTTGCACCCCATGTTTACTCCCACTTTGGCACCTCTTGTTTTGAATCTCTCCTAACCAATAATATGGCCATTTTGACTTATGTGGAGTGACCCCTTTGAGCTGTCAGCTGTAGTCCTTCTTGTCTTTGCATCACCTGTGAGTGTCCTTTGTGTCTGCCAGCCTATTATTTAGTAGCTTTCTTTTTCCTTGTGAAAGTAGCCTGCGTGAGAGACTTCCCAGAGAGCAGTGCCCTTCTTCCTTCTTCCTTTGCTTTGTCTGAGAGGGAGAGAATACCTTAGTGGTAGAGAAGAAGCAGGGAGTTGTGTTGTGGTCTAGCCTAGAGTGGTGTGTGAGAGTATAGCAAAAGGGTTGGAGACCTGAGCCGGAAGACGAATCGATCCTCAACACATTTTCAGCAAATCAAGTTGTGGTTTTATTACAAAGCTTAAAGTAATTACACACCTTGTTTAGGCTTGATGAATTCAACTTTTTTTTGGAAAAGCCTGAACAATTCAACTTTCCTTGACTGGGTGGTCTCTAATTCTAAAAAAGCGAAAAAGATCTTAGCTAAAAGCCAACCCGGTTACCCGACTAGATAAGCTCTCTGAAAATCACAGCTCCCTAAAAAATCATAGCTCCGACAATATTGCCGAACTCCTAAAAAATCATAACTCCCTAAAAAAATCATTAAATGGGACCGTTGATATTTTTCCTATACGCTTTAATTTGAGTGTTTAAGTTTAATTTCCTATGGGCAAGCCGTTGTCCCTCGTGACCAGGATAGCTTTGTTACAAATATCCTTATTTGTATCGGAGTCCCAAAGATTCTCCATTTTTGATATATGAGTCATCTTCTCGCCCTCTGAAGCATGACTAAGAAATTTATCGCCTGAGTAAGGAGTTTGCACAATGAGGTCATTCTAAAAATCTCCAGAGTATTGATTACATGAGCTCATATGTCGGCAAATTTACTTCTGGATTCACAAATTCATTTGCTCCCCCCCCCCCAAGTGCATCAATCAAAGGGTCTTGCTTCCCAAAAAAAGAGGCAAGAATTCTTTCAAATTCTTTGATTAAAATACGAGAAATTGAATTCACCCCACTTGTCATAGAACACTGGGAGAAATTCTTAATTATTGATAGAGGGATCAATTTCCGATATAAGCGAAGATCTACAAGGGTCATTAGTAGTATGCAACAAGGATTTCTCAAAATAGACAGAATGTTCAATATCAACTTGTAACAAAAATTTTGATATAGAGAAATCATTTCCATGAGAGTGATCCTCACCCAACCTAAGAAGATCCATCTCAGAGTTAGAATTAAAATTATCTGGATCCCTCGAAGCCCGTGGAGTTGCCAATGGCGTATTTGTTGATGCAAAATCTTTCATCAATTTAAATGCTTTTGTAATCCCTTCCAGAAACCGTTAAGCAAAGTTTTTTTACAACAACATTCCCGTCCAAAAGAGTCACATCCAGAAATATGCCATGCGAAAGTGCAAGCTTAAACAAAGACTAGGAAAGTGCTTTGAAGAAAGAAAAAACAAGAAACAAAAGGCAGTAGTGAAGTCAAGTCCAATAAATTAATGTTTCAAGCTTTTTTAGTGCTGCCTCTTCTATAAATTAATCTCAATCTATCAATATATAATTATGTATAATTATATGATGTCAATCTTGAAACTTAGTGATGTTATCGAACAACGGGATGCTTGGCTTAAATATTTTTAAAAATGTTTAAACAAATACAAATTCTCTACTTTTTTTGCGGAACAAGTTTCTCGAAATTTAGTAAATTTCGAGAGGTACAATAATGGTTAGTAAATTGTATCCTCTACTTTTTTTGCGGAACAAGTTTCTCGAAATTCCTTTCTGTTAACGCCAGATCATACAATTGTTATACATATAAAATGTATAATAATACAAATTATCGAAATTCATTTTTGTTGACATCAGATCATACAGTTGTTATACATATAAATTGATCACAGTACAATTACAGATGTATGATGACTGTGAAGTATTGTTCGAGATGGTGGCATTTATGGTCATTGGTCATTTTATGCTCTTCTAGTTCGACTTGTCTTCCTTAAATGAGAATTTATTTTCAAATAGCTAGATTAGGCTTACTTTAGGATTTTTTTTTGTAGGAGCAATCTGTATGTGGCAATTTTTAAAGGAAAATTCTATTGATGCCCTCCTAAATTTGAAGTGTTCACGTAAACTTAAGTTTTATGAACCAATAACATCGCATAATTTTGCCGCATCACCTGACTTTCTTTAGATTTTAGTATTGCAGTTTCAACCCCTAATTAATTAATTAATTTGTGATGAAATAGAAAAAGAACTTTGCCTACAACAGAACCAAACTTCAGAGACAAGTATATTCAAAAGCATTTTATCTCAAATCCGTAGAATATTCAAAAGCTTGTTTAAACTTTTAACAATGAGAAATTAATTGTCTAATGAAACAATTTGAAAATTTTATAGTAATAATAATAATAATAATAATAATAATAATAATAATAACAATAATAACAATAATAATAATAATAATAATAATAATAATAATAATAATAATAATAATAATAATAATAATAATAATAATAATAATAATAATAATAATAATAATCAAGCATATTAGAGTAAAACTTCATCAAATTACGAACCTGTGTTAAAACATGAGGTTCCATTTGTTGGGAAAAACACTTCGGACTTTCCCGTTTCGTGAAGTTACGATAGGCACTTAGGAAATAAGGTAACAATGAGAGCACACGATTTAAATTCTCCAATATGGAGATTCTTCCACTATACAAAAGAATAGTAGGGTATACAAGGATGTTACAAAATTGTCTCACTCAATGGTGGCTCACTCAAGCTTGAGGATGATGTCTTCCCAAGCTATCTCTCTTCTCTCTCAAAGAATCTCTCTAACTTTCTCAATCTAGAAGTGAATTCACTCTTGGCTAGGATGGTTTTGAATGGAGGCCTCTACTCATATTTATACTACTCCACCTTCACAATGAATGGTGGGGATGATTTCTATCTAAGGGTGGAGATTGATTCTCCAGAATGCTCCACACACTCTAGGAGTCTCTATACTCTTCCACTCTCTTCCATATCCTTCCATACTCTCTTCCATAAGCTTCCGGAAGGTTCCACACATCTCTAGAATATTCTAGAGGATTCCACACTATTCCACATACTTCTAGAGAGTTCTAGACTTCTCTAGGATTCTCCAGAACTTTCTAGCAAATTCCATACTTCTCCAGAAAGCTCTAGAATTTTCTAGAACCTCTCAATTAAGGAGGGATCCCAACACCATTAGATCTTAATTTTGTATTAGAGCCACGTTCGGTTGTGGTTTAACCGCATCTTCAGTACTCATGATTAATGATAGTTTGTTAAGGGTTTATTTGGTCCGTTTATACACTCCGATGTTGTCCAGACCAATTTGGACTGAGGAGGCGTGTCAAAGTAAATGTCCCACACTGGAATAGAATGAAATTTTAAAACATTATACTACCCCCGTTCTTAAATAAGTGCAATATGTTGAATTTTACACTATTCACATGTTCTATTTTGAGTTTTGACTACATTTAATTAAATAATGTATTAGTATATTTTCTTGAAAAAAATATTTTTAAATTTGTCTCATTGTAAATTTTCAAAATTTATTTTTTTTTAATTTTTTTTCTAATAAAGAATTATACTACCTCCGTCCCGAAATGAAGTTCTTATTCACTATTCATTGTCAACTTAAGTCACTTCTAATCTTTTACTTTATATATCAAATTTTTATCAAATTTAAATTTTATTGATCAGGCTTTATAGCGGTTTTGAAGTAGTTTCTGAATATGTAAATTTTATTTACTAAAAACAATCCGAGTGTGAATAGGGATTGAGTTGCTTTATCATCAGTCAAGCATCATAAACCGAACGAGAACTTCTTTACGGGACGGAGGGAGTATATATTAATGGTCAAAGTTGTGTCTCAACAAGTGTGAAATGTTGATCGTTGCACTTATTTAAGAACGGAGTAAGATATTTGACTATTCCCACTAAAACAAACTAGCAATCCAATAAGATAACAAGATTTAATAAATAAAAGTTACTATTATCATATTTAATAAATAAAAGTCACTTTTATCATATATTTTTTTTATATTCGTTAATATTATATGACACATCAATTCAAAAGTTACGATTCTATAAAACAAATTATAAGATGTAACAAGAAAAATAGGAAGATACACGAAGTTTGGACAACTTCACCTGCGGGGAGGGTTTAAAGTGAAGGTTGGTCTCCACACCGGGACTGCTAGAAACCTGGAGCGTGGGTTGTGGAGTTGTGAAGGGATGATAATAAGAAACTCGTGAAAGTCTTGAAGCTAAAGTACACAGTCTATTAGATTAAAGTAATTGGAATTGATGTTGCTGGATGGCCCTGCGCCCTTGAGGCCTCTTCCCCTCAATTCAAGCAAAATTGCAAGAATAAATAGCCATTAAATCCAACTGAAGCAATTAAATAATTAAAAATCAGAATTCTTCTACGTTTTGGTGAATAGAAGTGACAGTCAAAGATTAGTCCCAACTTTTAACTTCCGATGATCTTTTATATTCAGACTCTTTTGAAATGGCTTAAGCATTCAATTCTTCTTTTGTGTTTAATTATTTTCCTTTTGCAGAAGCAGAGTGATAAATAATTCATTTTTCAACGTGCTTTAATGTGTGGAAAAAGTCATTTGTACACATTCCTTGCGTAATTTTGCATTATTTTGTCAAGATTTCATTTATTATTTTTATGCGAATTTTAGTGTTTTTGGAAGGATACTTATCAGTTTTAAGATGAAAAGTAACTGAAGATGGAATTTGGAGATTAAGAAGGAAAGTTAGAGCCCGAAAAGGCTATTTGGACTACCACCCAACTCGCAACCATGAATCAGGATGACACTTTGTTAGTCGTTTGAGATTATTTTTTCATAGATAAATGGAAACAGAACAATTCAAGTTTCATGTGAAAGATTACGCAGTGGTCTACAAATCACTTCAAGACATCATGACAAGAATATATGAAAGCATCAAGGTGAAACTAGACAAGGAAGTCAGATAATTGTTGTTGATATTACAGAATGACAACTTTCACAATTGCATCAATATCTTCTGATTAGATGGTCCAAATGCAATGATTCAAGTTGTGTAGGATAAATCACTTCAAATGCTATAACTTTTGTGAAGGACGCATAACCAAATTTGGAACTTAGAAAAAATATATGCACGGTCGTGCGTGAGGTGCGCGGCCCCGTGCACATAATCCTCCCTCCATCTATGTTATTTGGAAGGAAGGTGCGCTTGATGTGCGCATGAGCCGCGTATGCCGTGCGCGGGTTTGGGACGGAAACCTCTATCGCACTTACGATCGTACGGATGCAGTGCATGCGACTGTGCACTACCGAATTTCACTCACATGTCCTCTTTTTCCTATTTAAACAATCTGTAAAGCCTTATTTTGGGAGACAAAGTTTAGAGAATAGAGACAAGACATATGATGAGATTTTCATTGTTTTTCAGCATTGGATCTTCAGAATTCTGGAATTGTTTTTGAGTTCTTTTTCTCTTTTAATTAATGACAATTAACTCTTACTTTTTCGATTCCGTTGTTAATTCAATTATGAATTGTGAATAAATTTGATAGTGGATTGATAAAGGGGCACAATTCATGATCTAGGGCTCGTTACAATAAACTGAAAGACACACAAAAAATAGCTCCTCGGCTTTCCTTTTTACCAATAAACACACACCAGCCCTTTAAGGAAACATTTTTTGGTACATCATAACAAAAAGACAACAAGAACACATTAAAATCTAGGTAGATTCTATGGTACCTCAAATGTACCGTACCTTTATCCAAATGGACCAATAAGAATGATGCAATTGAGTTATTTAAATCTAAATTAAAAAGCATATAATGATTTGGACCAATCAAATGCATGATAGGTGCGGTACCCCATTTTTTAAATGGGTACCGGAGTTGTCACCTAAAATCTAATACATTCTTAATTAATCGCGCATACCATTAGCATTCTCTAGGAGTGAAGCCCCCCATGCATGATTATTGATAAACTTTTTGTATCCATTCAATCCTCACGTTCACTCGATCATTTGGATAATGGACATCTGAATCCAATGAATCGGATACCCAATTTACCAATTTCAATTCGAGAAATTAAAGAATGTGCGTTTCAATTAGCATTCAGCTTTGTCTTCCAAAAAAAATTAGCATTCAGCTTTGACAATCTTGCTACTATTTTTTGTTTGAGTCGCTCGAGCAATACAACCCGGTAGGTTCTCATGACCCGCATCTTGTTGATCATGATCAGACTTATAGGTGCTGCATTTTTTTTCATAATTTGATTAAAGTTGGAAATAAGTAGGCCGGTAAAGTATCGCGGGTAAAACTTAAACATTTAGGTTATTTTTAATTTGATTGAAAGTTTCTAATTTAGTCTGATTTGGTCTGGATTAATCTGAATTGATCTAGTTTGATCAGGTATATGTCTGACCTTTATGTATTTTATAATTGTCATAGTCTGATGCTATAGTCCGGTCTGGTCCAAATAAAAACATCCTTAAATATGATCCGGAAATTCGAGTTGACCAAACGGGAACTTAAATTAAACTTTAATACGATAATTGGATTCTTAAAGGACCACTCGAACATTGTTAGATGAATAGGTGGGTTATGGGGTAGTTTTTTTGGAGGTACATTATTACACATGTATATAATAGATTCACTTTTCATTTATTATTGATTTACGTTTATTTTGTTAATTAATTAATGCTGATCGATCTTAGACCAGCATTTGCCGTGATTAACATAATTATGTTTGGCATTAACTGTCAGTTTCTTTAATTAATGGTATAATGACGGCTTCAAAATGGATGTGTAACCCATTGATGTCACATGTGGAATCCCTCTAGCTAGCATTAGTTTTAAAGTATAGTGAAGAGATAGAAACCTAATATCTTGATTCAACGTTTCAGTGCCTATCATTTCCAATTTTAACAACACAAATTCGATTGCCATTTATATATCTTCGTAATTTCGTATGAGATATTACCCGAAATAGGATTAAAAAGGTTTGAAAATTTCAAAATAGGACTGCCATGTTTTTATTCCCAAAATAGGACTAATTACTTTCATGTTTTGGCAGTACCAGACTTCAAACATGGCAGTATTTTCCAAACATGGCAGTAATTACTCCTATTTTGGGAATAAAAAACTCTGATGTCATATTTTGGAATTTTCAAACTGTTTTAGTCCTATTTCGGGAACTTTCCCATTTCGTATTTATCTGTGTACTTACTTATGATATGATGAATCTACCACAGTTTCATTGATCTTTTTATAAGTCAAACATTATTTAAATATAAAGCCATCTATGATCTACTCTAAATTAATATTTGTTACTATTTCTGTCACACTAACATTGGGACCTGGAGAGGCGATACAATTATTAAAAATGTGAGTTTAAATGATTGATATTGAATTGATAAAAGTAAACATAAAATAAAAATTATTTAGAGCCATATAAACTTTATCAAATTTGGTATGAGATAATCATAGTGGAAATTTCTGAAGAGTTATGCTAGGTGTACATATTTTGGTGTACGTCTTTCGTAGACTCGTTTGTCTCACACACACACAGAGTTGTCTGTCCACAAACAACTCTACAATATTGTCTCTAGACAGACAACTCTGTGTGCGTGAGATAAACAAGTGTACGAAAAGTATACACCAAAAAGTGTACACCAAACATTTTTCATTTTTGAAAAGGGAAAATGAGACAATTTCAATGGGGTGGAAGGAATATTTTTATCAATGAACATCATTGTTTATCATCAAGTGTTAAAATTCCTCCGAAGACAAGGCAATTCAAGGTCATATATTTTCAAGTGGAGCGACTACAGATTTACCAGTGGCAAGTCTCAACCTAGCTTAACAACAAGGAATGCATTCCATCTTCATCCAAAAAAGGAATGAATTCCATCCTTTTTTGAAACTATATAAAAGATCAAAGTACGTCGTGAGAAAGTAATTCTATATCTTACAACCTCCGTCCCCAAATAATTGTCACGTTTTATTTTTCAAGATATCTCAAAAAATTGTCTTGCATTGTTTCCTTTTTTGACAACAATGTGGGTCTCATATCAAACCACATTTTCTTTACTCGAGTCTCAACCATAACTTTTATCTTTTCAACTACTTTCTTAAAACTTGTGTTAAAGCAAACAAGACAATCATTTTGAAACGGATGGAGTACATTCTTACCATCTTGCATATGAGATGACTTAACCTATGGCTCAAGAAAGCTGTCTACTACACTCCCTCTGTCCCATAAAATTTGATCAAGACTTGTACATGTGTACGTGGATTAATAATCTTAAAATTATGTAGTACGTTGAAATTTGTACAGAGAACGAAATTACATCAACGGGTAAAACATTGTTAAAATAATGTATTTCTTGTGAATTTTAATTATTAAAACGATTTAATTATGCGTAACAACGTATGGATGATTTAACTTTAGCATAAGTAAATATTAATACTTTGTATAATTTTTAACACATGAGTAAATGAATTTGGAATTGCATGGCAATGGTTGTGTCAATCGGTGTTTGATATGAACCATGCGATTAAACGGCAATGCTTAGCAACAAATCTGTCATTCAGTGTATGACCCTGACTGTTACTACTTGCCCGTCTTAATCCCTAAAAAAGTCACTACCCAGCTTAGCATGCAACTTGCCCAATATTTAATTTTTTAATTTATGGTTTGCTAGAGAAATTGATGTCCCCCCGTAACTTCCAGCCGATCAATGGAAGGCTGGATAATACCAATTTTATAAGGTTTATATATGAACCATATTATGCACTTGTAAGTTGTAATAAAAGAAAAATAACATTTGACATTATTATTGTCTTCATTTTCTGTTGCCCATCTGCTCCGACTAATCAGATTTGGCCTTTTAATTAGTTATTACTTTCTCAAATCAGTAGATCCAGTTTTTTCTTTAAAGGTTTACAACTTATAAATTCCAACTCTCATGAAATAAAGGAGATGGATTTTAGAAGGCAAATTTTGTTATGTATAAAAAAACGAGTAAACAATTATCAAGTAATTGTAAAGACACACACTATAATTCTTTTTGCATTGGCCAGGAATTGAAAGCCATTGTCGATATGATCATATGATGAACAATTGTTCTTCCTCAGCTGGTTGGAAGTAACACATATATACTACGTATTACATATACTCCGTCTATATATATTCTATCAAAAAATAGGTTTTTGGGCCTATTAATTGATCAGATTAATAGCTAGAATTTTATTTTAAAATAATTACATGATCTCGACTTAAAACTATACATTTCCGCTTTATTATCACTTTTTAAAACTCCGTTCCAAGTCAAACCGGGAAATATTTTATAGGACCGAGGGAGTATTATGTTTTACCAATATATATATATGGATTTGCAGACCTACACACATTGATTTATGCACCTGTGTGTTTACTTTTCACAAAAAGCAGTATACAGATAAACACAGGATTAACAAGGATTTTTGACGGGGATCCGCGAAATTGGTGAAGATTTTGGCATAGATATGTCAAATCTGTGTCGAAAACAGTTTGACACGAATTATTTGACACGAAATTATCGGTGAATGCATGCTAAATTTGTGATAATCCTGTATTTTTGTGGTTGTAGTCTTATGATGTACAGTGTATGACGATAATAATATACTCTTTCCAATTTTTGTAACTTCTTCACAATTTCTTTTATTTTGATTATCCAAAAATTTTTGTGGGTGGAGACAAACTAATTAAAATAGTGCTAACCGTGGACTGCTAGGGTTCTCTCACATCGTCCGAGTTTGTTTCTTCCGAAGCCGTTTTTGTTTTCGGATATGGAGTTGGGGGCGATGTGGATGCATCAGGGTGGCGTGCAGGGAGAGTAGGTTGTGCAACCTTGAGGAGCAGTCTCTTGAGATGTTCAAACAAATTCTTTCCAATTTTATTTTTGAAAAGTTTTGCATGTCTAATGTCCATGAACTTTTTATTTATTCAATCACAATCATATATTTCTACTTTATCTCACTTTTTAAAACATCATTCCAAGTCAAACCGGATTTTTTTACAAGACGGGAATAACAAAAAAGATGACACCCCATTCGTAAGGTCCCCCAATATCAATTAATTGAGAAGATGTAAATTGAATTTTAATCACAAGTTGGTCGATAGCGAGTGAGCCTCTGGTCCAGCCTTCAGAAGCTTGCAAAGGGTTTATGATTTTTACAAAGTAACATTTCATGAAAATTGTCGAGTTTCAAAACCCGAATGTGAAAAATGAAAAAAATTACATTAAAAAATTAAAAAAAATCTAAGTTATATTAGACATCAGTCTATCATAACTCGTGCATAGATCCTTTAAGCGACTCGGTGAATTTGTCCAACCCGCATGGCACCAAGGAGGAGAGCATTATGGATAAAAAAAGGTCATCTTCTATCCTCATAGGACTCATAAAAAACAAAATCTAGCGCGTTCACATTTTTCATAGGTATGACGGGACGCAACATCGGCAGCGCCGCCCCTGGGCGGAACAAAATCGTCTTGGCATAAATTCTAGCGCGTGGATTTATATGATATGGTCAAGATCCATGGCTGACTTATCAATCATGTGATTAGGTGCGCCACTTTTTTCACAAGCCTACGTACTATTTTGTTTGGCTTGCGTGGGAATATGACGTGGAAATTACAATGCTGTGCGGGTTGAATTTTCCTATACAACTACTCCGTACTAAAGTACGTGGCTAAAGGGTCAAATAGGTACATGAACTAACTTAAAGTGTTCAATTAGTCCTTTATATAGGAGGTTCTGCTCGGCTATCGCCAATCGGGGAGGTTACCCGTTGAATTTTTTGATGAAATTTTTTTAGCATCTTCTTCATTAAGTCTAGTTTACCCATACCAAATTTCATCTAAAAATTAAATCGGGAAGGCAGTCAAATGATTTTCTGAAATGTAATGCGCAGTTATCTTCAAAAAATCATTTGACTGCCTTCACAGTTGAATTTTTAGCTAAAATTTCGTATGGGCAAACTAGACTTAATGAAGAAGATGCTTAAAAAAATTCCCTCGGGAACCGCCCCAATTGGCGACGGCCGGGCAGAACCTCCTATATAAGGGGCTAATTGAACACTTTAAGTTAGTTCATGTACCTATTTGACCCTTTAGCCAAAGTACGTAGTAATTGGTTTGTTAGAGTCCCACACCGGAAAAGTTTGAATCAACAAAGTGCTATATTAAAGCATGAGCTACTCCTCCTATCAAGGTTGACCTTTTAGGATGGAACATCGTGTCTTAACATGGTATCAGAGCCAAATCGATTCTGGTGTGGGCCCTCTTATGAAAAATGACGACATTATTATAAAAAAAATGACAATGACGAACCGACGAAAAAAAATGAATGACGGCACGATCCAGACAAAGTGTCTGGTCGTGAGGAGGGGTGTTAGAGTCCCACACCAGAAAAATTTGAATCAACAAAGTGCTATATTACAACCATTCTTGGTGTACACGTTTTTATACCCATCAGTACACGCATGTGTCTGTGAGAGTTTTTTTTGTCTGTGAAACACGGTCCACAGACATAAGTTGACTTGTTTTGTCTGTGGAAAATTTCACAGACAAAACAAACCAGCTTTTGTCTGTGGACCGCGCTTCACAGACAAAAAAAAACTCTCACAGACACATGGGTGTACTGATGGGTACAAAAACGTGTACAAAAAGAATTTTTGGCTATATTAAGGCCTGAACTACTCCTCCTATCAAGGTTGACCTTTTAGGTGGAACCCCGTCCCTCAAAACTTGATCAAATTGACAAAGATTTGTGCAGAAGATAGACAATTAATTGAAATCCCATTTTCTTACTAAAAATATAATTTATTATAATAATAATAATAATAATAATAATTATTATTATTGGTTGGGAGTGGATGGGTGGATGTCGGTTAATGTTGGTCTACTTGCAGTGTTCAAGTCCAATAGCGTTTGGTCTGCTACAAAGAATCTTCATTTGCCCGCGTTTTGACAACCTGTTTTGTGACGGCCGCGCATAAAACTCAGCGTATTTAACTCCCACTAAACTCTCCAATTTTTAAGCACGCACTTAGCTTACTACTACTTTCATCCAGAGAAAGAGCTCTAAATTTTAATCTTCCTATATACTGCTCTAGCTGCTTATTTAATTAATTACCCTTTGACCCTCCCTATGCACAACACAGGCAGAAGAGTCAGGCGCTCTGAGGTTAATAAGTTTGATCCTCTCACTTAATCATTCATTATTAATAATATGATACTCTCTGTTAACAACACCCTAGCCTCTATGTATTTGGTGGCATGCAGGCCTTCTGGCCTTCGATTGTGATGAAGAAGTGGCTGAACATACAGCCTAAAGTGTACGACTTTAGCGAAGACGAGGTCGACACCGAGAGTGAAGATGATGGTACGTACTTATTTATCTAGTGTGTACGCACCTTTGACGGAATCGTCTAAATATGAAAAATGAAAAAAATTACGTCAGAATCGTCTGAGATGATTCAACCCATTGTAGCTCTAACGCAGATCATCTCCTGTTACATAAAGGCCGGATTCGTTAGAGCTATAATGGGTTGAAGCTAAAATATACTCCCTCCGTCCCAGAAAATTCTTCCCACTTTGACTTGGCACAGAGATTAAGAAAGTGGAATAAAGTGGAAATGCGTGGTTGTGGTTGTGTAAGAAAAAAGTGGAATGAATATGAACTATACAAATTGTCCAAAAAAGGAAAGCAGGAAGATTTTTTTGGGACGGTCCAAAACGGAGAGTGGGAAGAATTTTATGGGACGGGGGAGTAGTTAGCGTCCTGAATTAATTATCCTAACTAGTCTCTTCAAATTCCTACATAATTTATGTACAGCTTTGCCGGATAAAGATAAAAGGGAGATTGAAGAACATGAAGGCCGCGTATTACAAAGAAAGCCTTCCCAATGCTCCAACCGAACCTCTGGCAAACCCTCAACCGACTTTTCACTAAAGCACAGGAGAGGCAAGTCTGAGACTCTACGTCTCCAGTACATCAGTAGGAAAGACGTGAGGTAGGAAAACTTTCTTATTTGTATGCCAACAATTTTTTTGCACCTTTTTTGTTAATTTAATTAGTTTGGTACTTATATAATCCCTCCGTCCCGATTAAATCTCGACGTTTGTTTTTGGCACGGTGTTTTAGGAGGTCAATGGATAGAAGAACAAATGTCTTGCACGCCCTTTGATTTTTGGGGGTAATTAATGTTATCCACTCAAATGTAAATAGTGAGTGGGTAGTGAAGGGTAGTTATTAGGACAATTAATGTAATAGGAGTTGCCTAAATAGGAAACGTAAAGATTTAAATGGGACGTCCAAAAAAGGAAAGTGTAAGGATTTAAATGGGATGAAGGGAGTAACATTCAATCCCAACGACGCAGTTTGGATGCTCTCTTTGTTTATGTGTCTATTAAAGTTAGCCAAGTTTTAGAAAAGAATTGCTGCAAATAAGACTTTATAAATAGAACTAATTATGTTTATTCTCAAAATATGATTCATTTAATCCTATTGAAGTATAGAAATTTTCTAATTAAGAGTGAACGAGTCATATTTTAGGAAGAAAATAATGATGATTCTATCAATTCACATTCTCAATCTTGTAGTCCTATTTAAGTAATTTTCACGAAGCTAATAAAAGTAACAAAGTCTTCGAGTAGAATCATATACTCACCAATACAAAGATATGTCACCTTAGCTTATATTGTTTGAAAATTAATGATAAAGCGGTTCAGTTCACTAGTCGTTGACTTACTCTTCTATAAGAGAAGTCTTGAGTTCAAAACTCTATGTAAGGAGTTTGGGATCCTTTACCCCGGGTCCCCTAACTCCCTTCTCTAGGGTAAAAAAAAAGTTTGATAATTGAGTCCTACACGGAATCCAAAACATTTTCAGTCTTCGTATGTGTCTTTATTGAACCTGTATGATTTTACTAATTTTTTTATTTTTGTGTATGTAGAGTTACAATAGGTACATGGAATGTTGCAGGGAGGCTCCCTGGTGAAGATCTTGAGATCGATGAGTGGCTTTGCATGAAAGCACCCGCGGATATTTATGTCCTTGGGTAAGATTTCTTAACTAACAACATTGTGTTGTGAATTCATATATATGTGAAGCACATTTAGCCCCTGTTTGGTTTAAAGGAGGGGAGGGAAGGAGCAAGTAAAGGAGGAAGGGGAAGGAAGGAGAAGGAAGGATTTTAACAAGCATTTGTAATTGGTTGGAGGAAAAGGGTAGGAAGGTTTAATAAAATAAATTTCCTAATAATATACTCTCCTGACCGTGTGATTGACATATTATAAGTTTATTCACATAGCATAAGTTCATTTACATAAAAGGAAGACCTTTTATTCACGTAGTATAAGTTTATGACATCGGATCATTGAACTCTCCTGAAATACCCCAATTCGGAGGAGTCAAAATGGGGGATAGTGGGGTTTTTTTTAATGTGTTCCAGATTCCTTCCCTTCTTCTTTATTTCTTCCAACCAAACAAACATGGATCCTCTATTATCCTTCCCTTCCTCCCAAAATCCTCCAACCAATCGTGCCCTTAGTAACGATCAGATTGATTAGATTTGTTCGTCGAATATGTTGAATTATGAAAATACTAGTCCGTATACTTTAAAACGTACATAGTACTAATGTAGATTGTCTAATAATAATTATTATTAAAATACACATAAATGTGTTATCCAACTATTATAAACTCAAAGCTTACTCCCTTTCTTGTCCACGGTCTTAGGATACTGCCCACTATGTATTTTGTTAATTCTATGCTTACATATTTTGAAGTATTTTGTACTAGTAGCATTTATGTCTACTTCCGTAGTAAAATAGTCATTTCTCCTCCACTCTTTCCACTATATAAATATTGATACGGCATGCACATGCATAGTTTTACCGGTCAACTTTGTTTTGCGGGTAAATAATGCATAATGTATTTGTCAAATTTCAATTGTGGCAATTAAAACATGGATAACTGGATAAGTGACCCCAGGAGAATTGACCACAGTGGTGTTGAATGCGACTATTAATTTTGATTATTAGGATGTCCCAATACTCATTGTCGTACTAGTCGCTAGATGTGGTCGATTACATGATATTTATAAAATGTTTATAAGACAAATTAAATACTACGTACTTCACAAAAAATGTCAAATAAAATGTTCTCCCTCCTTTCCCCAAATTAAATCATAGTTTGACTTCACATATTTTTAGGTGAGATATTACCCGAAATAGGACTAAAAAGGTTTGAAAATTCCAAAATAGGACTAATTACTGTCATGTTTTGGCAGTACCAGACTTCAAACATGACAGTATTTTCCAAACATGGCAGTAATTACTCCTATTTTGGGAATAAAAAACTTGACAGTCCTATTTTGGAATTTTCAAACTGTTTTAGTCCTATTTCGGGAACTTTCCCTTTTTAGGTACGAAAAAAGTAAAAGCTTACTTTTAAATTACTCTTGATATTTAAAGCATGGTAGTGGTCCAAATAAGTTAAAAGAGGCAAATGAATAGTAAAGTAGGGGGGAAATGATACTTAAGTACAAACTTACCAAAATTAGAAATAATGTAAAATAAGAACTAATGTGTAACTAATTATTTTATTTATCTATTAAAATAAACATTCTTTTAATTTCAAAGTGTACTATTATTTGTTGACACAAAAGCTAAATGTGCCATGTAAATGCTTTTATAAATGTAAGTGCATGTGATATAGTTTTGTGTAAATGTAATATTGCTTGGTGCTACAAAAGTTACACCAGTATGTTTTGTGTGAATATATTTACTTTGTCTAGTAAATGGAACACGACGAACTTAATTATATTTAAAATCTGAATCACTATCATTGAAGAAAAATAAGACAACGTTTGTACAAGAGTTGTAGAATCACCAAATACATGATGTTATAAATAATACTCCGTATAAAATATGTGTAAAATAATATAATATAATATAATATTTTTGTGTAAATAATGAGACAAATGAACTTAATTGGATTAAAATGTAAATTATAAATATCGAACAAGAAGGTATCGCTCTAACAGAATTTATAAACTTGTCAAATACAAATAAGACCTTGTTTGAGATAGAAAAAAATTCATTGTGAATTCTTGATGAAGATACAAATTATATTGATATGTATCGAGTGAAGAATAAAAAACGTGATTAGGAGCCCATTTGGTAACACTATTATTCGGCTTATCAGGCTTATCAGCCAACTTTTTCACCAAACTCGTAACTTTTGATTTTGCGCGCTGAAATGTGTAATAATAAGAAAAAGTAAGGTTCAAGTTACTTTTCTGGCTGTTTCAGCTGAAGTTACTGTAGAGGGCCATTTTAGCTATTTTTACATATAATTTTTTGTTTATTTTATTAATAAAATATATTTTAAATTTAATTTTTTCATAAATCATCAGAATCATCCAATACAACCACTTAAGCAAGAACTTCATATATTTCAGCAGGATCAGCCGATTTCAGTGTTAAATTACTAAACGGGCTCTAAATCAGATTCAAGAAGAGGAGAATTTAAGAATGAAAAAACGTGAGAAGAAGAATACAAATCTACTTTTGCAAGAAAAATAGTTTTGCATCTTTGACGTAGTATGCTAGCTTTAGGCTATTTCTTGCTCGACTCTAACTTTGATGTAGTTTTCTTGCCGTAGCTATTCTTAACCCGTCTTTAACTCCTACAATTTGTCAACTGAGGAAGCTTGAAACATTGAAATTGAATTCAGAGTTAGTGCAACATGAAGAGGAACCAACTAGGGATGTTTTTATCTGGACTGTAATTTGCTAGTCTGATCTGGTCTGATCTGGTAATGTCTGGTCTCTTTGTATTTTTGTAACTATCAAAGTCTGATCTAGTCTGGTCTGATCTGGTCTGGTCTGGTCTAGAGTGGATTACAGTCCAAGTAAATCATCCTAGGTATAGATCAATTTTATACGTGAAAAAACTATGTGTATACACCAATACACATGTCAGTAAATAAACTATTTATTTTTTTGTGGATAGCCTATTCACAGACATGTTAGAAATTAAACGCAACACAATACGAAAGATAATAACAAAGACACACGAATTTGGTAACTTAGTTCGCCACAAAGGACTACGTCTGGGGGCGCTACCAAGCCAGAATGTTACTATTGTTACTATTGTTTTTTGGTAATGATTACAATGAGAGAACTTGTATTTATAGAGAGTAAAACCTAACCCCTACCAATACAGAACTCGCGGCCCATATATAAAAGGACCCAAAAAAAATTCGGCCGTCCAACTCCTTACAAGACAGAACATGTTCACCGAAGTAAATGTTCTATCTGTCCACATGCTATCTACACATAGAAAATAGTCTATTCACCGACACGTGTATTGGTGTATACAAAAAGTGTGTACCACAAGAATTTTCCTTAACACATTCACAGGGACCCGATTTCTGAATCGCTCATATATGAACAGTTTTACTCATTTTAAACTATACTATACGTTTTTATACGCTTTTTGTGTACACCACCCTTTTTTATCTGTGTACATAAGCCGTTCGTTTAAAAACCATAGAAATTATATGGGTACACAAATGAGTGTATAAAAAGTATACACTTTTGTAGGACAATAATAATTGCTCAATAGATTTTCTCATTCTTCCAAAAGGTTGAATCCCCAACCCCAAGAGCCCCCCATGCCCTGACCCGACAAGACTTTTGGGAGGTTGTAAGTCACGGTGACTCAGTCAACCCAATAGTCGTAAACTTTGTACCCGTGCGCACCAGAGGTCCAGTCCAACACGTAGGAGCTGTAACCTCGACACGATCGATGCAGTGTTTCGATCTTTGACCATTCCTCCGACTTTGTCACCTCAATATATTTATCCAAATTTGTGTTTATGCCTTTTCGTTTTTTGCAGTTTTCAGGAGGTGGTACCCCTGAACGCTGGGAATGTGCTTGGAGCAGAAAACAGAAGGCCCATTACTAAATGGGAAGCCATTATTCGCAGAACACTGAACAAAACTATTGGGCCTGAATCTAAGCCCAAGAGCTATAGCGCTCCTCCCTCTCCAGAACTCAGGACTTCTACTCCTTCAGACATAATTGCAGATGCAGAAATCAAAGACCCTTCATGCGAATCATGCATGGTTACAATTCCGAAGAATCTAAGCTTGAAGCGGGGTTTGGGTTTGGATTGGCCCGAACTTCCTCTGGATGGAACTCCCCAACTTCTTCCTTCAACCTTTAAGCTTAGAAGGGTTCTGAGCAGTTGTGCACGGGTTGGTTTTGAGGTCCTGGATAATCCAGTTTCATTCGGGCCTATTGGATTGGGTCTTGGCGGGCTGAAAAGTGGGCACCATAGCTCTGGAGACTTGGAGTCTCTGTGGACCGACAGTCTTACTGATGGCTCTGATCAATTCTCTGAAGAAGAGGATGAGGACGGTTTTGGGGATTTTCCGGAGGTTAGTGAAGAAAAAGGTGTTAGCTTGTTAAAGAAATCGCGTCCAATGTATGTTCGAATTGTGAGTAAACAGATGGTCGGGATTTATGTTTCGGTTTGGGTACGAAGAACATTGAGAAGGCATATCAACAACTTGAAAGTCTCTCCTGTCGGAGTTGGACTGATGGGATACCTCGGTAATAAGGTACTTACTCCTTGTAGTTTTGACATTTTGACGATCGAGTGGAAAATTGGAAATGGGTCATAAAACCTGAATTAAAAGCGCAAAAAAAAACTTTAGCTAGTGCGTTTGATTGGCTTTTCTCATGGAGCTGCCAAGCCAGAGTATTTCTCTATATTTATGAGAAATAGGCAATATATATGGGAATGATATTTGTAATGGGAATGCAATCCTAGAACCAAAGAAAAAGGGTGTGCAGAAAAAAACACAACCATGAACAACCTCCGAACACCGATACTCCTCGTGAGTTGGATCTTTGTGATTGAGCTCTATAGCGTCTAGTACCATTTTGGTGTCCACTTTCTGCAGCCAACCACAACTAACATCATTGCTCATAAGTCAATGATTAGAGAGTAGATGAGTCACTAATATAATGACCATCATTAGAAGTCAATGACTAGGGTGTTAATGGCTCCTTAATGACCATCATTAGCAGTCACTGACTACAGAGTCACTGCCTCACTAGCTGATCGAAGGCGATCAGGGTGGTTAGTGAGTCACGGGCTCTCTAGTCAATGAATCAAATATGGTGGTTGACATTGGAGTATGAGCCTCTCACGGTTAGTTAGTTAATCTTATTAGGCACTACTTTCATCATGAACTTTTCTTTTTTACTTCGACTTGACATGATTATTAAAAAACAAATTAATGTAGTGGAGATTTAGTCATCGAAACTGAGATGTAATTTTAGAAGAGTCTAAAAAGATAATGGGGATGAAATTTCAGTTTAAATTGATTTATAAACTCTTTAGATAGTTTGAAAAGAAAACTCATGGTTAAGTAGTAAAATTGTAAGGATCATACATCTAGTCCTACTAAACTAAAGCCTATTAATAACAAATGTTTGATTTTAATTGCAGGGATCTGTTTCAGTGAGCATGTCTCTTTACCAGACAAAACTATGCTTTGTCTGCTCACATTTGACATCTGGACAGAAGTTAGGTGCTGAGCAAAGGAGGAACTCTGATGTGAATGAAATCTTAAGGCGCACCAGCTTCTCCTCATCGGTGTTTAAATCAGAAACTGATTATCCTCCTCCCCTAACAATCCCATCTCACGAGTAAGAAAATGTCTTATCATGGTCAAGCTATCTACTAGGTCCAGTCGCTTAAAGTTTGATCTGGTTCTAGTTGTAATATATTATGTGTTGCATGTTTTGTCCGGTTTAATGAGTAAAATAAGTTGAAGAAAACCCGTTAAGTCATGTACTTGATCTGTTCTTATTTCATTTGCCCCTAAAAATCACATATTTTGAACTGTCTTTCTAAAAATTATCCTCCATTTCTTTTTAAGGGAAGGGTTATGTGGTTTATGTGACTTTTTTTCGTTAAAGATATATTCCAATCACGCCGTTTCATTTTGCTAATCTCCATCCTAGGACGAATCAGGCGTCTCTTTAGGGACAAGTGGAGTATTTTATAATATGAAAGAGCTATTGACCAAATTGTTTCGTACTACGTAATATTTAACATTTTTTTAATTTTATGTTCCTTATTATTTTATCTGAACATCTTGAATTTTAATATAACATAGGACCTTGATTTCATGCCAAACAGTCAGATATTCTGGTTTGGAGACTTGAACTATAGAATCAATCTAACAGATACCAAAGTAAGAAAGCTTGTTTCAAGAAAGAAATGGGATGAGCTCTTGGACCATGATCAGCTCAGCAAGGAGCTCAGGAGTGGATGTGTGTTTGAAGGTTGGAAGGAAGGAGCCATTAACTTCGCTCCAACTTACAAATATGAGTTCAACTCAGATAGATATGTGGGGGAGAGCGCGAGAGAAGGGGAGAAGAGGAGGTTGCCTGCATGGTGAGTTTTAAGTCACCTACATTATGCATTTCTTATAACTTCAGCCTTATGTGGAAGCTCAAGACAAAGTAAATGTGGGGGCGCAACATTGGGTTAGGGTGGCCCGCAAGTTAAGACAACTCTTTCCTAATATTGTAATGTAACTTCTTTTTCCTCTAGAGCTAACCCCATCAGTGACTCTAGTCTAATATAATGACCATCCAGCTCAACCGAACACAATTTCTTCAATCTTTCCCAGTCATAGGCTCAAATAGATTTGAATCTTTGATGTTGCAGGTGTGATCGTATACTGTGGTTAGGGAAAGGCATCAAACAGATTTTTTACAATAGGACAAATATAAGATTATCGGATCATCGACCTGTGAGTTCCATGTACGTGGTGGAAGTAGAAATCTTTAATCAGCGGAAGCTCCAACGGGCTCTCAATGTCAATTCTGCTGCTATACATCATGATAAGTTTGTTTAATAACATAGATGAATCCCCGAAGTTAGACCTTTAAGAAAATCATGTTGGCGCAGTTTTTTACTCATGATTTTTTCATTCATCAGTGGCAATAAATGTTGTAGATTATACCACAAACTAAACACATAAATAGTTATAGTTATAGTTATTGTTATAGTTATAGTTATAGTTATAGTTATAGTTATAGTCTAGATTATGTTTGTATTATTATGAAAGTATAAACTCATCAGACAAATACATAAGGTAAAAAATCACTCATCGCAATAGTATCCGATTTAGTCAGCACATAACAATCTAATGTATGTTACTCAAGGGGCAAGTTTCTTGTAAGTTTATGGAGTGGCAGGATCTAAGGGGCAAGCTTTATTTGATGTAGCGAATTTCTTTTCCGCTGAAGTGCGGCTATTCTAAATCGCCAAACGGTGATCTTCTCATGCCAGGATCTAATGGCTGCTAGGTTTTCTCACCGTTAATCTATCCATGTGGTGCTTTCTTTGTGGTTCATTAGGCAAGAAACAGATGGACAGACAGAGGAGTATGAGGGTCTGGAAAATTGGTGCAAGGGGTGTGATACTTTGATCGTCATTGAGAGCTTGGAGGAGGGTTGGGTGTTCGTTGGAGAAAAAGGGAAGGGAATGGTGAGAAAGGATGTTTCCGATTTTTAGCGCCTCAAACTACAATCAGTGTAAAACCAAAAGAGAGTGGATTTCTAAAGAATATGAGAAAAATATTTATGCCACAGCTCATCCTCCTCCAGAAGCACATCTGTGCTAGGAAGATGAGCCGGCCTGTGCAAACGATGGGCGGATCCAAGTATTAGAACTGCCCCGTCCCGCCTGGTCGATATGCTCAATATATAAAGTTATGTTACAAATATACATATATACTATTTTTTAAAAGGAGAATTTTTTATTAAGTAAAAAAGAGCGATAGAAACGTAAATGAGGGAAGAAATAAAAGAAATCGACAAAGCCATATAAAGACTAGGCTAACGAACTACTCCCTATCAACTAAGCTGCACAAACCAATTCCCTCCAAATTCTAATCGAAGCCCTTGATAACAAAATGCCCTTCCCAAGTCCCAACTGTTTCTTCATGACCCCAATCAGGCTGCTCATTGTTGTGCAAAATTTGCTTGTTCACATGTTGAACAAGCCTTCAGGCTGGCAGAGGTCCCTAGCTTTCTTAAACACAGCCTGAGAACTGATTGTAACATGGTTGATTTTACTTAATGAAGCTATTTGTGTTTCCCTAAAAAAAAAACTGTCTCCTCATGATCCCACCAAATCTAACTAATAAATCAAAAGTTTTGCCTTAATTCTCTCACTCCTTTAGAGTAAAAACAAATGGGTGTTGGATAAATTTCACTCGGGATCAACTAGATGGTCCAACAATTTTCAATCCGTCAACTCCATTAGGGTTTTCTATATGAATTCTTTTACAAGACTCCTAAGGGATTTATTTATAGAAAACGTGTAAATCGGGTGCGGATGTAAATGGACAGGCTCAATGACATAAAAATCTAATAAATGATAAAGTAGCTCATCTCATCTACTTATCTACATATAAATGAATATTTAAATTGTACAACAATATAAAACAATATAACGCTCTCCACTGAACAAGTGTGGGTGTTATTAAAGTTTAATGGTCGTCAGACCAGGGGTTCGAGTCCATATACTCTATTAACCGTCATCCTTTGCTTTCTCTTACTCAACAAAATAAAAAAATTATTAGGTTACATTTAAGGGAAAGGGAGAAAGACCATAATTGACACTAAGGTTATTTATAGAGTTCAAAATGGACACTAACCTTTTTTATAGATCAAATAAACCCATAATCCATCTTTTAGGTTCATTTTGGACACCTACTAACTGAACGGGGTGTTCCCCGTTGGACTTCAGAAAAGAAATGACAAACCAAGACTCTGGGAATCAGAACAATGGCCCCGTCTAAGAACCACAAGTTTATCCTCAACCCTTCGCTCAAAATTAAAGCTAGAGGAACTCGGAGATATGGTCGGGGTAAAGGAGAACACGTTTCAGCAACCTCCATTTCTTCTCAATCTGTCCATCAGTTCCAAAAATTTCAGAGACAGTAAGATAGCAACCCTAATTCATTTACACCTTCATCTATCTTCTCGCTGCAGATGAAATACGAGGGGGGAATATAGATTATGAGAGAACCAGATTCATCATCAAGCTCAGTTGCAAAGGAAATTGCAAACACCCAGGGATCAATCCTGAACCGAAGCAACGTTCAATTTCATTATCCTTGCCAATGAGAAATGAGAAATTATTTGATTGTCGTTGTGTTATCTTCTATTTTTATTGCAGTACTATGTGTACTTCTTAGTTAGTTTGTATTTTTAGATTGTGTATTCTTCAAGTGGAATCTCTGTAAAAGAAAATTAACTAATTTGGTCAGCTTCTAACAAGATTTTACCAGTTTTATCTTTAATATAACTTTTAGTTGGTATGTTGGTTTGTCTCATTCAAATATACTCTAAATTTATCTGTTAGGAACATGTTTAAGTAATTGAAACCGATCATTCAGTTTTAAGAACAGGTCTGGGCAATTTATAGTGTTCAATTAATCTTTTTGAGGTGATTGTAATGCAAAATGATTAGAGTTTACCCGAAATTCTAAAAGCTAACTCTGATGATCATTTTTATCTTAAATGGTGTTTGAAAGTTTTGATTCAAAATTAAAAACAGAACCCAACTTGGTTTTGTGCAGAGTATTGATTTATTCAAAGTGCATCACATTTATTTGTTTATGTTATAAAGCTTTAAACTGAAAAACATGGCAGATTTGCTATTGTGACGTGAGAACAAAAAAATAACTAAAATAATTACAGCCTATTCTAATAAACACGAGTCAAGAGAGTCACTTCTTAAATGGATCACTTAGATGGTACCAGAATCACTTCTAGAAATTCTACCAAACACATTATTATTAGGATCAGTTACAAAACACTACATACAATAACTGTTTTGAACATGGATTGATTCATATGATTAGTTAAAACCTGAACATAAACTCATTGAACAATAAATAGAAGTAGTTATAAAATGCAAACTCTTGTTTATTGTCATGCCATTAAACACTAGTTCAAATATGCACATAAAACACACTACACTCTTGTTTATTGTCCTGCTAATAAACTCTACTAGATGTATTCATAAAACTGAAAATGGCTGCACGAGTAAAAGGCTGCACAAGTATAAAAATTTTGCAAACTGATCATCCATGCACCATTATAACAAGCTTGGAAAAGAAAAGTGTTGTAGTAGTATAAAAGGATAAAAACTAAAAATGCTGCAAACATTGACTTGATATAACATCTGCCTTTACTTTTACAAAAAGTCTAAATACGCTTTAGTTCCATGCGGCCAAGTTCCAAAAACGGTAAAAAGTGTTCAATACAAAAAAACACTCCTACCAAGTTGCAAGAGCATTGCTACCAACTTCCAAAAAACTAGTAACTTACTAGTATATCATACCACTACTGCAAAGTAAACAAAAAAGCAGTGTGATCCATTAATAAAATATAACAACAAAACAAAAAATGGATCAACTTAATGATGTTTTTGAAATTTTCATAGAAGAAGCTCTCTAAACTAATTGGGCCTTCTGATTTTCATCTTCTCTAACTACCTTGATGTAACTGCATTTGTTCCATTCCATTGCAAACCAGGTGTCTTGATCTAACACTACTACAAAATGATGCTTTCCCGACAAAATTCTGCCATACAAAACTAAATCTGTAGTCTAACGTCATTTCTCATGACAAAATAAATAATTCGTGGGGATAGTACTTTGGCTACAAAATTTGTTTTCCATGCAAATTACTTATGTGGACAAAAACTCCTTTTCTAGACAAATATTTATTTCGTGGGGCTAATTCTTTCCCTACAAACGTGTTTTGCATACAAAATTAATTTGTAGTCTAACGTATTTTGTCACGACAAAATAAGTGATTTGTGGAGAGAGTATTTTCACTACAACTACCACTTTTCCATGCAAAATACTCGTGTCTACAAATTTTCTCATCTGGAGTGATCTAGTTAAGCTTCATTCTATATATCTTGTGGAGAAAATATTTTTAATTGGACTTAAAATCTTTTGGTATGATCTAGTTAAGCTTTAATCTAAGCTATCTTTTTAATTAAGTCTGGTCTGGTCTTGTGAATGTGTATTGTAACACTCATAATGTTTAAGTTTGGTTTGATATGATCTGTCATAATCTAATATACTTTGTAATGTTTAAGTCCGACTTGATCAAAATTAATATGATTGAAACGACATGTTATAATCTTATCATACTTCCTCCGTTCCATAATTCTTGCAACATTGTGATTTTTACACTATTCACGGATCTTACTTTGACCATGATTTTATACTAATATACATAATCAAATTATTATGTATAAAATGTTATTGAACTCTTATCAATGTGAATTTCCAAAATATCAACTTTTTATAATGTTTACTAATACATAATTAAATATAATTATAGTCAAAGTTGTGCATTGGCAAACGTGAAAGTCAAACTGTTGCAAGAATTATGGAACGGAGGATAGTATTTGTTATCATAACTCAACTAATTTATCATTTCATCTGGAAATTATCATTTTGTTGATTTACTCAATTTCATCATGATCAAATACATGCTATGGATTTGTTGTAAAATAAATCATTCCAAGTTTTACTAATTATGATATTTTTACTTGGACTATAATTTGTCCCACACCAAACCAGATCAGACTAGAACAGACCAGACCAGATCAAACGAGACTAGACCGGACCAGACTTGGATAGTTATAAAAATAGAAAAAAAAAATTAGACCAGATCAGTCTAAAGTATATACTTCGTATATATTTTACTGTAGTTTTGTGACTTATATAATTAGGACATCTTTACTCTGTCTATTTTCAATCCCAGACCAAGTCATATTAGACCGAGTCATACTTAAACAGAACAGATCAGAACAAATTTAAATAGATCAAAAAAATCGAATCAAATAAGACCTTATCAGACCAAACTAGTAAATTTTAGTCCAAAACAAATAACACTCAATCGTGTTTTCTAAATACTCCATCTCCCTTAAAACTTGTAAATAATATGGAGTAACGTACTAGTGTAAAAAGAATGTGGATCGAGAGAGATTTTCAGATTTTCAGTCCAAAAATTTGAGCGCCTTTTCATTCCCAAAAACAAGCGCGCAAAGTATATTAACCGCCTCCGTATTTTTGCCCTACCTTAAACTCACCAACAGCTCTCTCATCTCTTTCGATTTCATCTTCAAGAATTCTTCTTTATCTCACGAAGTTAGGTCTTGAATCTCAACCTCCTCTCTTAGGTACAATTTCTCCTTATTTTTCTACTACTTTTAAGCATTTTTTAACGTATTTGGAATTCAAGACCAATCTCTACAAATCTACAATTGATGCTTACATTTAGTTTAGGTTGATATTCATTAGTTTGATTGGCATATCTCTCTGGCAGTATTTGACTATTTTGCAGTTTATTTGAAAAGGGAGGTTATAGTCTTAGCAGTTTCATTGTAAATATTTTCGCTAATTGCTACTCCGTGTTTGGTTTCTGATGATTTAAAACATATTCTTATTGCTTGCTTACCCTTCTGTATCATAGAACATTGTGGCCAACGTGTTTGACAAAATTCCCAAGTAAAAGGAATTTTACTTATGTGATTATGCTTATCAAATACATGTTCTCTAAGCTCTACCCAGTTTTAAATCAGGGAAAAGGAAGATTTTAATACATAGGTGGGAAGCTTCAATCTTAATTACTAAGATCCTGTAATCACATAAAGTTTTTTTCCTCTTTATAATAAATAATGAGTGCTCATATCTATCATTTTGTATATTTAAGATTTTCTGGAGGCTTGGACTATCGTGTTCAACGATCTTCTAGATTTCTACTCTTATAGCTTGTGAATATACATGTCCTTAAAGCAATTTTCTGTTTCGAGTGTATGCCCTTTAATTTAGAGGAGTATGCTTCGCCACTATCCCTCCTTCCACATCCTTTTTTTTTGCGAATAAATGTTTTTGTTAAAAAATTATGATTTTGAAATGGTGTTAGAGGGGCAAGGGATGACCTTTTTTATCAAGCACGCCTCTCACTCCTAATTCTGATTAAGATGCTGTATTCTGCATTTATGTGTTACTGCTCTCAATCTCTGTTTGGTATAAATTGAAACGGCCAGTTGAAGTAGGAGTGTATTTGTGGGGGGGTTTCCTTCTAGTCATAACTAACTGAAGGCTCATTCCAGTCCTCTTTTGATAAAGAGAGAGCTCAGTCAACCATAAATGCTTATGGGAGTGTATTTGTAGCGGGGTTCCTTCCAGTCATAAGTGCCAACATCCACCTTCTGATCCCCTGAATGATGTTCGGCTTCATCATTATCGTGAAATGGAAAGAAAAGGTGTGAAATACACAATGTTACATATACTCAGAGGACTTGATGCTTTGATTACCTTTTCGAGTTAATCGCATACTAAGTTAACTTTATTATGATTTATGAAAGTGAATCTGTTTTCTTAAGTTTGTTTGGTTTTGTAGGGTAATGCAATATTATTATAGAAATATGTATCATGGGTAATTAAGGCAATATGTACTTTAAAGTACAAAAACTAATGTTGTTACTAAAAAAATTAATAACTTTATTCGCATACTGTGTATGTTTTTATATGAGAAAATGGTTACAAAACTAATGAGTATCTCGTGGAGAAGGCCAAAGAATATCAGCTTCTTGAAGGTAATCCTTTGGAGGAAATACCTATTGATGATCTTGATATTGGACTTGGAATTATGACCTCTGTTTTAGGTACCAAACCAGGCCATTGAATTCATGGTCTTGGAGATGGCCGTCTTCGACATTTAAGGACAACATGTACGAAGGTGCAGAATTTAGAAAAAGAGTTGGAGGGGGAACGAGCTGTGCAAAAGGCTGTTGAAGTAGCTCGAATAGAGACCAAACAGAGAATGCAAAACACGTTGAAAAATGATGGGCAAAAGTTCAACTCTACTTTGTAGTCATGGCATTAATTTTTAGTGCAGGTAAGTGTTGCTATACCACCATCTTTAATACAGGTAGATGTTTCATTTTGACTAGTATTCTTAATTATGTAATATAAATCTATATCCAGAGTATTTAGAACCAACACAACAAGTGTTGCTAGCCGGAAAACTAAACAATTCCACATTGCTAAAAACTGGATGCACTAAAGTAGAGTGTAAGAGAGAGTTGAATACTTGTATGTGCTCTAAAAGTAACATTTAATCAAGCACTTACTAATCTAAGTTTGGTAAATGGTAACATTGTACATACTACTGCTCCTTTAATTACACAGTTTAACAACTAAATTTATCAGCTGTTGATAATTTGGTATCTAATAAAATGGTAATTTGATGTCTAAAATTGGCTCGAATATGCTCTTTTAAGACTGTTGTAATTTTTTTTGTCTTAACAAAGGTAATTTATTGTAGAGCTTGAAGAAAAGGTGGCACTCAAATTGTATTGTACACGATAATAAAGAGTAAAGAGTGAAGAAAGTGATCATATTTTCAATTGCTAGGTTTATTCGACACTGAGGACTTCAATCTCAAAGTTGAGTTTGGAATCGGGCTGTATACCCCAAGCTGGAAATCCCGCAGCACCATAGGCATAGTCGGGAGTGCACTTTAACAAAGCTATTTTTCCTACTTGCATTTCCAAGACACCTTCATCCCACCTTGCAGATATAACATCTCTTTGATAACATTTCCTTTACCAATTTTAAAACAAAAAGGAAACTGCTCAGGATCTTTTGTTTTCCAGAATTTCTTAGAAAGATTTCTATCTATGTTGTAGCCGGTGCAGTGGCGGTGACGGTCTGACCAAGAACTGGCTTGGGACTGGTACTTGGTCTCCTAACTTCCTTCACAACTCTCATTTTTATTGTGTTTTAAATTGATATAAAAGATATACAAGTCTTTATTTATGTTGATAAACTATCAACTTATCAAGATCATTTACTAAATTAAACTTTGTGTGTGACATGCCCTTCATATTTTTAATCATTGAAAAGCATGATTTTGCAGTAGTGCTTACCGTCTTGACACCAATCTTTTTATGCAGGTAGGTGTTATTGTACCACCATTCACCTCCTTTTTGCTTGAAGATGATGGAGAAGACGAGGCTCACACTCTCTTGGATACTCTCTTGGATGACTAATTAGAAGTTCATATGATGTTAAAATTATTAGGTTATTTTTGAAGGACATCATGAACCAAATATATTGGTTATATTTTTTACTTATCTCTCAGTGATAATGTTTTAGTTTGACAGGGAGTTAGTAAACTTTATAATACACAATATTTACTACTAATATTTGCTAGTAAACTTTATAATGCACTATCATCAATTTATTAATAGCTCTTCGTACAAATTTTAGTTTGTTTCCTATTTTTACTGACAAGTATATATTGGATGAAGGATGATGCATGGAAACACTTAGTTGTGGCAAAAAATGTTGCTGCAAATAATAGGTCCTACAAACAATTTTTGTGCCGAAAAATCTCTTTAGCCTACAAAATGCCCTTGTAGAAAATCATCTATGTCGACGAAATTAAACTTATGGCTACAACTTTCGTGATAAAAATATATTTGTGATAAAATCTATCATTTATCTACCAACGATTTACCATACAAGAATTTATTTGTAATGACAACGTCCACATGGACATTCTTCTTGTGAATAACTCTTTCTACAAAATTTTATTTGTAGAGAAAGATGTGCTTTGTCTACAAAAATTTCCCCATACACTAAATTAGTGTTGGGAAAAATATCTTGAGCCTACAAATATTGTTGTGGTAAAAGCACCGGCAAGACGAATTTTATTTGTCTAGAAAAGTTTTGTATGCCAAAACTTTAGTAGACAAAGTTTCAAATTTTGTAGCGTTATATCTTTCCCTTCGATGATGTCCCTACAAAGACGGCTACAAATTTTTTTTGTCTGGAAAGTGTTGTATATACAAAATTTGATATCTCCCTACAAAGATTCTTTGTATGTAAAACCCAAAAATGTAGTAGTGTAACTTGTGAGCCATCACCCTTGAATTTGATTGTTCTATGAGTAGCATCCAAGTGGTTATCAGTGAGGGTATCACCTCTGATTTCCTTCTCATTTGGAATTGGAAATCTAACTACAACGTCAGCATGATGTGCAGGGGCGGAGCCAGGGCACTGGGCCGGTACAAAGAATATTTTCAGAAAAACTTTCACACGAAATTTTTTACCTTAAAAATTAAACCATTTTTAAAATTTGGGGTGGGCCATGGCCTAGGTTGGCCCACCCCTAGCTCCGCCCATGATGATGTGGTATTTGTGGTTGAAATTCTGAAATGCTCTCTTCACTAGACATACCGGGCTGCAACCATCCACAAATATAAGATGTTCAACATAATTATCAACCAATCTTATTTTGAAAATGCATTGCACTTTGAACATCCATATTAGGTATAATATACTCACATCGTAAGTCTTCACACTGGTACTCACATTAACATAACACCCAAATCCAGTTATGGGCCGGCTTTTAATTCTGGCTATTCTTCTAGCCGTGAATTTGGACTGACATCTACCATTTTTGCTTTGAGGTATTGATGGAGTTGGTGTTAGCAATGGAGTAAAAGCTGTAGTGGAAGTCCTCTTTAACCCTTGTGTCTTGTGTTTCCTTAACCACCGTAGTTGGCAAGAAGATATTAATTACCTTCCTAGCAGATTCACTATGTTCTTCTAAGCCAGAATATTAAGATATTTTCTCATCTTCCTTGTTTATCTGCGGACTTGTAATTTTTACTCCTTTGGCCTGCGAATGGACTTCGCTCTAGTTTGAAGCTTTGGCGGAAGGAATGGGAATAATAGGGTTGTGTCTTGTTTCATCGTTTGTTTTCTCAAAACTAACGGCCAACACCTTTTAACCCCCGTTAAGTTAGTCAATGTCCACATATAACCCTAAAAGGTGAATTATGGGTTTATTTGATCCATTAAAAAGGTTAGTGTCCATTTTGAGCTCTATAAATAACTTTAGTGTCAATTATGGTCTTTCTCCCTAAGGGAAATTTCCCGGGATATATATGACTAAAACTTATTGAGTTTCCCGAAATGTGACTAGCTTTATTTTTAGGTATTCGTATGACAAAATCGGGGAGGGGGGGGGGGGGGGGGATTTCTCGTCATATTAAAATGTTGAAGGACGAAAATTCCCTTACTAATTAAAAAGGTGCATTTTGAACTACTTTTGTTCAAATTAAATTAAAAGTATTGCACTTTATGCAGGCGTTACTGCACGACGTGCACGACATTACTGCACTTTATGCTGGCGTTACTGCACGATATTACAAAAATGTTTTTTTTTAAGCATTACGGAAATGTTATGAATTTATCCTGTTTTTTCCTTATGAAAATGTTATGGATTTATCTTTTTCCTTTTTTTCCTATAACAAAAATGGTATAAACTTAACCCCTTTTAGTCCGGGCAAACCACAACTTATCACTATAATGACCAAGACAAGCGTTAAATTAAACGAATGAGTGGAAGATGAATGCCACGGCACCCATCGAAAAAATGAGAGTTATATCATAATTTTTTTATATTTAATTAAATGATTCAATAATGTTCTAATTGGTCCATTTGGACAAGATACCGTACTTTAATTTGAGTTTACCATGAAAATTGCTTTATAATTCTGCGTACTTCATACACGTACTTCGTACTCCATATATACTATCCTCCCTTTTTTAATTTTTGCAACAGTTTGACTTTCACATTTGACAATGCACAACTTTGACTATAATTATACTTAATTATATATTAATAAACATTATAAAAATTTGATATTTTGAAAATTCACATTGATAGGAATTCAATAACATTTTATTCGTAATAATTTGTCTATGTATATTAGTAGAAAAGAGACAATTTCCTAAATAGGAGTAAAAACGTTTTGAAATTCCAAAATAGGAGTATCATGTTTTTTATTCCTTGAATAGGAGTAATCTGCCAAGTTTGGAAGAAAATGTCATGTTTAAAAGCCTTGTAATGCCAAACTTGGCAGAAATTTACTCCTATTCAGGGAATAAAAAACATGATACTCCTATTTTGAAATTTTAAAATGTTTTTACTCCTATTTAGGTCAATTTTTTAGTAGAAAATTGTGATGAAGGTAAGGTCTGTGAATATTGTAAAAATCACAATGTTACAAGAATTAAAGAACGGATACCGTACCTTGAGTTGGCAAATGAAAATTTGATATTCATGACATAGGTTGAATATCTAGAGCTTTAACTATCGAACCAAAGAATCATGTGTCACTACTTAATTGATTAAGTATATCTTTTTCAATTTCATGTGTTTCTAAAACTACTCGAACGTAATTATTTATCCAATTATGAATTATCCCTTAAAACTACGTAAACTCTATTCATTCTAACTTCTTATATATTATGCTCGATTGATGAAACATATCAGATTGTAATGATATGATAAGAAGAAGGAACTTGCAACAAAATACATATATATATAATCAATAATTGTTCATCAAGATGGCTAGGCTGCAAAATATTTATGGAAGAACTAAGAGAATATCCATTGCAATGCGAAGAAGGCGCACAAGGGCAGAAGAGGCGGCACTAGTGCAGTTGAGAATTTCTTCAATCGCACTTGACATGTTATCCACTGCAAAAGCCACAGGCTTGACATCATATTTCAACTTCTTGATCGCTTCCATGATATCACGTACTAGCCTTTGATGATAGTTGGACTTGGGGCCACACACACCTTCCATGGGAATACCACCACTCCCACTTACCACCTTGGACAAGGCCTTCTCTAGTATGATCACTCCAAACATCCTGATGTTGCCGGTCTCACTCCGAGGATCGGATTTTAGCACCGACACGCAAAGGTCTCGAGCTCGCGTGAACGTGCATGCGTCCTCTATCGTCTTGGTTATGTTTGTTGCGGGTTGTTTGGAAGAGGCATGCTGCACAATGGAGAGAGTGGTGAATATGATGCAAAACAGTGGTAGGGAAAATGAGAAAGACTTCATTTTGAATAGAATGATGCCTCTTTGATTTGTTATGAAGGAATCAATTAACTACCCTCTATCATGTAGTAGCTAGTGTGAGTGGTATAAATAGAGTAGAGTGATGTATGATGTGTGATACTCCTTCCTTCAATCCTTTTTTATTCAGCCAAATTTGACTTTTCAAACCAATGGTGTCCGACTTTGATCGATTATATATTTAGCACATAAGTATTGATCATATGTTTTTTGTCAAAAATATTATTAGAAAAGTATAATTTTATCAAATTTCATATAAATATTATTTAAAATAATTAGTCAAAGTTAATCATTTTTTATGCCAAAATAAAAAGGAACGAAGTTAATTAGTAGAATTTGACCTCATGGAGGCTATGCCAAAACCACACCAAAAGACCAGGCCATGGCACACATGACAAATTATACTTAATTAGTAGTATATATAAAGGTTTGATATTTTAATCCTGTAACTTGTATATATTTATTTTTATGAGCCATTTGTCCACTAAACTTACTCACTTAATATATTTGTATATTAACCTAACTAATAAATTTGTATATATTATGGACTTTCTCTTCAGAAAGTATACTTTCTGGGGTAATAAAATATACTGAAAAAATGTCATCCTTAATTTCCGTGAGGAAATGCATTTGGATGGAAAAGTCCTTGATGTAGATAATTTTATTAGTTTTATTAGTTATAGTACAATATATACAGGTAAATAAAGTTGCAGGACATCTAATAAGCACAATCAAAATTGTGATCGAGTTAAATCTACAACTTTCTCAATAACACACAAATCGTGCGTCAAGTTTTAAAATTTTATACAAAAAATAATGGTTTTTCCCTAACATATTTTATTATAGATTATAAATATTTTTAAGTTACGAAGTTGGGCAGGAGCTTGATAATTATCCAAATCTGTAGTTTTTAGATGTGATTCATGTGAACTTCGTGAAGATATGTTATATTGTGGTGTATGTGTAGATAATTATTGCATTACATTCTTGTAATATACGTAGTAAAAAGTAATTCTTGCATGCAATCTTGGACACAAATTTTAACAATTCTTAAATAAGTCAATCGTGGGATCGGGTTGGCAATTGAATGTCTAATTAATGGGCCCCATGTGGTCATGTCATTCATGTACTCGTGACTAGGGGTGGTTCGGTACGGTATACCTTATATTTTTTCTCATACCTTTGCCATGCCAAAACTTTCGGTATGCAAAATTTGCATACCTTTACCTTACCGAAGTTTCGGTATACCGCATTTCGGTATACCGAAGTTTTGGTTCGGTAACGGTACGGTATCGGTAAATTACCGTGCATGTCTTCCAATACAAAAAATTATCATTGACTAACGAAATATACTAAATCGTTATTACTATCGACATATTAAATCTATTATTAAAATGTTACGAAATACAATTAATAATCTATTGATGTCAATTCAATATTGAAGAATAACTATTATTAGTATATTTAAGGAGTTCAACATGCCACATATTAAAAAGTTACACATTCTCCTAAAATAACTTAAACAATATAGATATAATTAAATCAATAGTGATCTCTAACAAAAAAAATAAAACTATTCAAACAACATGTATATAAAATCATTTATTCCTAATATGATATTGTGTATTCGGTCATTTTTATAATTTTTTAAAAATTGAATAAGACTTTTGGACAAAGTTGTGTGTCTCGACTCGTGGAATCCCTATGTAAATACACTTGTCACATAAGTGTATCTCTCTTCACTCATCAGCTACTTAGCGGCTCAGCCATCACGACTTGCAAGCTCTTGGAACATGATGGACTTGTTTCTTGACATTTGTACATTACTCATTAGTCATTAAGGTTAGCGTAATAGAAGCCTATAAGGTTATAGTGGGTTTGAGAAATTGGACCTTTAATTTTGTATTTTTGTATTTGTAACCAACTTAAGTATTAATTTTGGGCTTTAAAATTGTAATGGATTTCTACAATATATTAGAATTAAAACTAATTGTTGAGTAGAGAGTCGGTACGGTATTATACCGGTATACCGCGGTATTTGAAAACATTTACCGTTACCGTACCGAAATAGATCGGTACGGTAAGATACCGTACCGAAAATGACGGTATACCAATATCTCGGTATTTTCCGGTATTTTTCGGTACGGTAAATGCGGTATACCGATATTTCGGTATTTTTGCCCACCCCTACTCGTGACGATGTTTTTGAACGTCTTCTTACAATGACAATCGGTACTCTTTTAAAAAATAGGTGTCATATCTATTAAATAATTTTCAATTTAGATTTAAATAATTTAACTCTAACATTCTCATTGGTTAATATAGACAAAGGATGGTACCTTATGGGTACGATAGAATCTACCATATTTAATTACACTTTTTTGTTGGGAAAAGGGGCAAATAAGGTCACGTACTAACAAAAAAGGTCAAATAAAGCCTTATTTATGAGGCTCTGTCCGGCCTTCTCCATATGGGGTGGTTCTCGGTGGAATTTTTTGATGAAATTTTTTGACCTTCTTATTCATTAAGTCTAGTTTACTCATACCAAAATTTACCTAACAATTCAATCGGGAAGGCATTCAAATGAATTCTTGAAGATAACTGCAGAGTTATCTTCAAGCATTCATTTGAATGCCTTCCCGATTGAAGTTATAGCTGAAATTTGGTATGAGTAAACTAGACTTACTGAATAAGATGCTAAAAAAATTTCATCAAAAAATTCGACCGGGAACCAACCCAAATGGCGACGCCCTGACAGAGCCTCTTAAATAAGGCCTTATTTGACCTTTTTTGGTTAGTACGTGGCCTTATTTGCACCTTTTCTCTTTTTTGTTCAATATTGAATCCTCAACCTCAAGGACCTCTCACGTCCCGATCTGGCATAGCACATGAGAATTCGTAAATCACGGTGACTCAATCAATCCTAACGGTGATAGACCTTTATATCTGTGCGCACCAGAGACCCAGACCAGCACATAAGAGCTATAACCTCCACACGATCGATACGGGTTTCGATCCTCAATCATTTGTCTAACTTTCCCACCGTTTTACCATAGTTTTAATTACACAATAATACTTCGTCATTCGTTCGAAAGAGAAGTTGACTGGTTTTTACCAGTTTACCTTTGTCAAAATTATTTTGATCATAAAAAAGAGAAATACTGTGGTGGTCTCCGTAGTTATTTCAATACTACATTTTAATAATAAAATTAACTCTGTAATTAATTACCTTCCCCCACCCATTCACCACTGCCCTCACTACATAAAATTTCATTTATAGAGGCAAATCATTGGGGCATCCTATATATTATTGTCTCTAAAAACCTGTTTTTGCATCAAATGGATAATGGTTGCCTCTAAAAAGTGCTATTTGAGGCAACCTTGCTTTCTTTGCCTCTAAAAGGTGCTATTTAGTGACACAATTGTATGATTGCCTCTAAAAAGTGTTTCTTGAAGCAAACTTTATGGTTGCCTCTAAAAGTGTTATTTAGAGACACTTTTATGATTGTCTGTAAAAGTTAATTATACTTTTAAGAGACCGTTTCGTAACCGTGTTTTTTGACTTTTCATACAATTTTTTCACCAAAAACGTAAATTTTGATTAATTTCATTAAATTGTGTAATAATCAAAATAAGTAATGTCGGAGTTATTTTCCTAGTTGCATTAAATGAAGTTATTGTAGAAGGTCATTTTAGCTATTTTCATATGATATTTTCTTTATTTTAATAATGAAAAGTTTTTTTTATAAACCAACATAATCAGTCAATACAGTCATTTCACAATTAAAATTTAATCAATTTAACAGAATTACTCGATTTATCTAGTTTTGCTATTATGCTTTAAATCTAATTAATACTCTTTTCTCTTTCCTCCTCCAGCCTTTTACGGTCTAATTGTTCCCTCAAAAATTTTCATTACCGCCTTTTAGTTTTGAATCGAAAAAAAAAATTTCACTAACCGCCTTTTAGGGCCCATGCCCGCACTTCTTTTCTAGCCCTAAGTCCTTAACGCAGGTTTAGGTTTAGAGGAGCTCTTCCATTCAATTATCCCATTGAAACTGCAACTGGGACGAGCTCGAAGCGGCAAACAGGACTGACCTGAGCGGCGAAGAAGGATGAGAGGAGCGATTTCTAAGGGTCGAGAGCAAAATCTAAGGTAATAACCCTAGCCCAAATCAAGCATAGACCGATTTTATTTTGGTATCGGCTAACTTAATTAGGGTTCGATTCCTCTTCTCCTTCAAGCTTCTTCATCTTCTGAAGTTCTGATATCGTTTTCTAGTCAAGCTTCTTCAACAAGATGGTAATACTCATTATTAAATTCATCATCCCCTTGTTTAAATGCATGAATAAATACAGTGTTTCTAGCTCTCTGTCGTGGATTAATATAATTTTCCAGATTTTTGTATTCATCTTCACTCTTGGATGACAAAACATAAGTAATGCTTTAAGGAGCTTGTGAAATATGGTATTTGTAACACATTCCAGGTTTATAATTGTGGGAGTTCACTTGAATTTTTGTATAGTGCTAACTCTTTAATTGAAATCGCATATCTGGTTTACACTTTTACAGCAAATCAAAGAATGGGCAGAATAACGAAACTCCATTCCACCAGTGTCACTTGCAAAGATGTTTAAAATGATCCAAAAGTATCCAATGCTATTCAAGATTTTCGAAAAGGTTAAATGTATACATAAACTATTAAGCTCAATTTTATACCTTAGTATTATTTATGTACCCATGAGTAATAAAGTCAAATACATGAAGCAGGTATTAGTAAGACAGAAAAAGTACAAGACGATCAAGACATCATTACTTATAATGAAGGTATACAATTGATTTTCAATTTTTTAAAACAATGACCTGTCCCTTGTTTACATTCACATCTACAAATGCATAGAGAGAAGTGATTGTATCTAATATGTGGTGTAGCTATTGCTTGAATTATGTGGAAACCCTAGTAG